TTTGTGACCCTGCGTTGTGGATTTTCTAGCCATTTAAGTCGCACTTCAGCCAAGTTTGCCAAGCTTGAGTGGCCTATTTACAATAAGGGCGTAAGTAAGAAAAGTGCATCATGTAGAAGATGAATGGGTGGAAGCAACCAAATGCTCTCAGCACAAGCCGACGTGCTGTTTGGATATTTTCACAGCTTCCTCTTACTGCGTTGAACAGTTAAGGTCATTTAGATGAGCACACTAAGATCGCGGTTCTAGGAAGTTGTCTGCAAATCATGTGACCAAAGCCATTATGTTACTAATCCGCATAGCGTTTGCAATCATCATGAACATATTTCACATTGAATTGTAGTGTATTCTGAAGTGACCAGTTCAAAATATTGTTGAGATCCCGCTGGAGCTTTTCGTAGTCGTTCGGTTCACTGATCGCTCGCAATAACTTGTTATCATCCGGGCTGGAAAGAAAATCTGAAGTAATTACCCTCACCAAATGTCTCGTGCAAGTCATATATTGACGGGGGGCGGGCGCTGTGCACTTTTTCACGCGGCACACTAAATCACTTGCTTTGGACAGGAATTTTCCTACTCTCACATTTAAGCTTTCGCAGCAGCGGGACATTCAGTCCATAGAGCTGAAATGTATGGTAGAGGATTTGGTGGTGTAAGCGACCAAACGATTTGGGACGTTCAGGCAAGTTACATTCACTCCTTCTCCACCAGCAATTGCTTCAGCTTAGCTGTGGGGTGCAATTGGCAGTTTCGCAGTGTATCAGCGTTTGTGTCGGAAGGCATGTTGCCTTGGTTCAATCATATTGTTTTTTCCAGATAACGCATAATGCATCAGCGCTGCTAGACTCCATACAATTGGAAAGCATATGGAGTAGCATTGTCGGGTAAGTGTGACTAACTCCCAAACAAACAGGAGTGATGACCTGCTGCTTCCATATTTCTGTAATTAGGTTTCCCCCTATATACGTATAGAGAAAATCGTCATAAGTTCCGCCAATCCACTTACTGTTGCATCTAAATCCTTCGGACAAATGATATCAACACCAACCGATTTATAGATGCGCCGGTGCAACATTTTCTGTAACACAGCTTCTGCATGAACGTGATATTGTAGAAAGCTGACAGTGGGATACTATTGTCTCCGTATATCAGTTATGTTCGGTGTTCGCTGAAACTTTTGTAAGTGCTGGAACCGTAATTGATCGGCTGCTTCCGTTGTTGAACTCAAACACCCGGCAGTAGTGATCAGTGTGGGAATTCCGCGTTAAAGTTTACGAAGGCCATTAACATGCCCGTATAAGAGTTTATGTTGTATGCAGAATCTCTTCATTAGCTCCTGCTGGTACGTTAGCTTGTGATCGCTGATCAAGCTCACACAGATATTAGGATTTGCTAGGTTTGTATTCCGGATTTCGGAATTCGATGAGCCATATGAGCTAATTACGCTGTTCCTAAGGGCACATGTTTTGCTTCTCAGAACTGACTTGCTTCAGCTTTGGCGACGTATAGATTTTTGGTCAGAGGTGTGCGTTACCAGTGTGATGAACGGTTATTGTGAAAATGTTCCAGATGTTTTCTAGGGGCATTCAGATAATAAGCCCTGATAACAAGTTGTGGTACGTGAACGTATAAACGTTATCCCTTTCCCCTGAATATTCCGCATAACAAAACTTAGTTTAACGGCAGTGTGACATTGTCAATGCGACCCAGTGGTGTGCTTGTAATTCACCTGTGGACCATGCGGATTTGTTAGTGAGCACAAGAGCAAGTATCGAAGCATGTTAGCAGTTCAATATCTGGTAGATGTCGTGGTTTTACAGATGTTAGCTGGGAATTACCTCCTTTATCTTCGCTTTAAACTGCGTTTATCAATCTCCACTATTTCCAGGTAGTGCACATTAATTTTTCATGCGATTAGAATATGATTTTATGAATTACTCAAAATAATCTGAAGCACATGGTTAAGTTTTACGTCCGTTTCACATATAGATTTTTGTGGACAGTTAAGCACAGATATAAGACATGTGTCTTTGTTCCGCAACCATAATGGACACCAAATGGAATCGGGCGAACGACTACCTGGAGGTTCAATATGTTCACATCAGAAGTTAGCCTTGCAAGTGAGAATTAAACCACACCACTTCCAACTCTACTATTCGGAAGCAGAGACATATCAGGTGTATATTGACCTCAGAATGTGCAATCTCATGCAAAACCAGTTCTCCGTAATCATACAAATATTCTGCGATCGTGACGCCTGGCGTTTCGTGAGTTCGGCCAACTACTAAGATGAACTTCAGTCTTGGTAAACATGCAGATAGTGCTTTCGATGTTAGAAGTATGTGCGTGGAACTCGAGTTCGTGTATATTTTTAATCAGGCCGCTCCTCGGTTAGACTCTAAACATTTTAGGTGTGAGAAACTGGTTCTTGCATTTAAGACAAGCTGGGTGGTAGCACCTGGTATCCCAGATCGAGATGTTCTCTTATATGTCTCCATTTCTATCTATTGTCGTATCTGCTATTTGTCTGCCAATCTGTAGGAAGACGAAGTAATTATATATATATATATATACATATATATATATACATATATATATATATATTACTGACATAAAGTGGCCGCGTGTCCGTTCTCCGTAACGTAATCTCGGTAAGCAACCTGGGGTATGGAACAACCAGCTATCTAATGGCATTGAGGTCATTCCTTCGGAGTGTTTTGCGATATACAGTATTTTTGGGCCGCAGCAAAATACAACAGTAACATAGCTTAGAAGATAGATTGGAAGCGAAGTTAGGTTCAGAACAGCTGATTGGCGTACTGTCTGTCATGTGTGATCCACATTGAGACTAACTGCGGCGTCTGCGAAGGGTTATCAGTAACGTGCACATCAAAAGATGAAGGGGGTTAATTTACATGGCAGGTTTGAATAATCATATAAAGTGGTCTAGATGAGCATAGTCGAATGGCTGGTCAGTGTTCAAGGGGTAGATAAAACAAGCAGCCGTGTTCCTGACACATGCAAACGGAAGTGTGCTTAACATAATAAGGTGTATTAGGGGAACAAAAAGGGTGAGAGTTCCAAACGACTGGACATTTGATCGCTCCGACACGGTACTCACAGCGTCGCATCGCCGGATCTTAGTCCAGGAAATATGCGTAAGTGTGTCTCTTTTGACATTTTGTCTAGGCGAGCGATGCGTTTGTTACCCGGCTCTGGACTGTCGGTGTTTTGCCTAATTCATGAAAATGGTATCTAGGGATGAGTTAATAGCAGTCATGCCGAATGTGGCCAGTCCAATTAATGTGTAATTAATTGTCGTAGTGCTGTTTGCAAGCTTGATTTTAACTTTCGGCTTGGGGGTCTGAGCTCTGGGGCTTTTGCTGTAGAACAGGATCAATGCTGTTAGATTGTATTAACATAGCACTAAAGCTCGCAATCTGCAGGTCTGTTTAAATCACACTTTTCAACATTTTTGCAATACATATTGTAAGATGGGCTACTGGAAATGCACTGCATTTCTTTCAAAATCAGAGAACGTCAGTCAATTTGATTTGTATATGGCAGCTGAATCAAACAGGCACATCGGGGACAATGCGCAAGGCCGCAATAGTCAGAAATAATGCCTTCTGTCTATTCGTGCAGAATTCTACTCGACACAATTGCAGTTAAGTGGAATCAATTCCATTGAGTGACGTTGTTGCACAAGAAAGCTGTTTTTTCTGGTCACGTTAAGTACGATGTAATTCTGTAGCTGCGCGCTCCAATTGATGTCTAAATTCGTCTGCACTGTTTCTGGTGCGACGACCGCACCACTCGGCAGCGGGTCTTCTTTCATCAAAGATGAACGCTGTTACCTTTATTAAAGTGTCAACAAGATATCATTCGAGACAGGTCTGTATTTTATTACTCCTAGTTTTTTTCAACTGCAGGGTGTCGTACTACAAACTGTAGAACCATAATATGAATCTTAAGACTAAACCATGGCTAACTTCAGTGTAGCAGAAGCCTGCTTCTGATTATATCCAATTTGAACATAATTTTCAAGCACTGATTGAACACCAGTGAAATTTGATTCATTATATTTTTATACAAGCGCCGTGTATAACGTCTTTTAGAAATGTAATATGTCAAGTGCGCTTAGAATATTCACCATTTCATATCTTTCAGTTTCATCGTTTGTTTCACCGTTTTGACAACAGATGTCATGGCAATATTTCTCTGTTTCTCAAGCAACATATCTAACTCACACATTGTTTGCAGTTCGAATAGTACCGTCTCAGTCAGACAGAAAGTTTGCGTAGCTAGTGTGAATATACAGAACCAAATAATAGCATAAGCTGTGGTTGATAATTTATGCTTTCCTCACGGGTCACTGCAACCCGAACAAATAGATCAACAAGGACACCCAATTAACTAAAAGCAAACCGCCCCGAATGTAAACCTCGTTTTGCAACATCACATCTCTAGAGACTTGAGGGCACTGATACCGAGCCGTAAACGTAGGTCAGCATTATTAATACGTTGACAAGCACATTCGTTTTACAGGAAGGCAAACAATCAGGATTAACAAATAAAGCAAAATGATAAGATCTACAATGTTGATTACTAACTGGCATTATCAAGAACACATTCCTAATGATACAATAGGAAACACCTTGGTTCATTTATATGTGTGCGTATCAGCTCCGTTATTGAGTAGTAATACGAAAGCGCAAAATACATATAAACACTACACAGGTTTGATAGGAAATGTTTTCTTTAATTACTTGTTATAGGATCAACATTAAAATCCATGTTCTGTTATCTCAAAACTAGTATCAAATTTAGTCGACTGTAGCTCTACTGAAGCCGAAGGCGATCCAATTATATTCATGAATATTTAAAGCGCCCTGAAATTATATACATTTGCTCAGTAGAAATACATCACTGTTTTATACGAGCTAAATTTGGCAAAACAGTACTTTTAGTTTGAATCTAATTGTGAAGTATAAGGGTGGTTAATTAATTCTTGTATTTGAGAAGGTATGCATACCGTAGGAGGCGGTGTCCTCTCGTAAATAGACAGGAAACATACAGCCCGCGTTATGCCGCTTCCATAGATTAGCCATCCCCAAAGCTGTCCTCGCGTTTGTTTTCCAAGCGGTATTTTTTGCCTCTATTTTCAAGTTTAGTTTTGCTATTAACTTCGATTGCGTTGTAATCGCTCTTTCAAAGAATTCCACGCGACACTTCGTCAAAAACTGGAATGGGAAGGCAATAATGAATTAGCTTGCCTAATGGGAACAGAGTTGTGATTCGTAAAAGTAATGCTTATAGCATAAGTAGAGATTACCTGTGTATGGTCGTTAATACGTACAAGCCACCAGAAATAGACAACAAATATCCGTAGCATATTTTAGCATAATTAAACCAAGGCCATTAAATATTTGGTGCTAGATAATATTCTCACCTTCAAAGAATCTCGGTGGATCTGTGTAGATGAAATCGGGAACAAAACGACGTTGTATTTACAAGAATATTGGATACATATAAGTTTGTCTAATGTAACCCTCTAGTAATAACGAATTTATCATCCCAAATATTATCGAGCTTTACGGTAGAATTGGTATAATTGGTTTACGTCAAATGATTTTGTCGTCTATTCCATTGAATAAAGTAAAGTAGAATGCACAACCATAAGTCACATCATCAACACCACCAACAGCAGTATATCAGATAAATGAACTGCTGCTTCGCTGACGTATAAACATGACTTACGGAACAATGGTTAATACGAGTAAGAGAAGGGGAACAAACGCTTCCAAGAAACAAGTCGCCTTCAAATTGTCAACAATCAACCATCACACAAAGCGGGCTGTCGTGCAAAGAAAAGGCCGTATCGACGGGACAGCATCCTTGCTAATTTTAATATCCTGCGTCATCATCAGTCATTACGCTGTAGATAAGCAGCATAAAACACACTTTAAACAGTTATTCCGACTGGGAGACGGTAGGCGACACGCAACTATTGTCGACTGTGAGCCACGTCCTATAGCGTTTCAGGCAACGCACTAGGCGTGTCAGCTGGACTCTAGTCTGGAAGGCAAGACGGAAAGGCCGCCCCAAGTTTCGTTGTTTGTGACTTCATTTCCCACCACTAAGTTGATTTTTGCCAACTTGCAATATTGTGACAACCAAAATCCGACAAACATATCAAAGATCTACTCGGCAAATGGAGACAGGGCGTACGCGGTACTCTTTCAAGCCAACGCAACTTATTCAGTGACAAATGTTGGTTTAAGGAACTAAATTGGTCATCGTTGTCTAGCACTGCTTTTCAATTGGAGGGGTACCCTAATCTGACGATATGAATGTCGCAGATACTAAAATGCTGTCCTGGCTATTGAAATCCGTGAACTGACTTTACTGGTTATGCGCCCACTTTTGCTTATATAGCTTTACATAAAGATTAATTTGTCAACAACCTCAACATCCAGGCATCGAAGTGCAAGGTTTATCAATGCTCTAATGGTCTTGTAACGGCAATTTGTATTTTGAAACTGCGAAGCGCATGCAAATTGATAGGACCATACCAGGGAGAAGATACAATGATGTTTGCATCGTCCCAGCATCTTTAATAAACAGGAACATATCGTCCGTTTATTCAACTAGCATTTGCTCAGTCAGCACTTCAAATCTTACATCATGAGACTCCGCAAGGTAACATGCTCTGATGCAGTTCACGAAGTTGACTTAAATTGGGGAAACTGGAAAACCTTGACGAACTCCACTTGTTGTCAGAAAGACAGGCAACAACTTTGCGAATGTCCTAACGAGGCCTGTAGTGTTCGAATAAAGTGCACGTAAAATGTTCACGTATTTCATAAGAACACTGTTCTGAGTAAGTTGTGTGAAAGGAATGCAGAGATCTACAGAATTGAAAGCACTCTTAAAGTCGAGGAACACAGCTATTTTCGGTCTGCGGAAAGTGAGGATGTACCGTTATACCTGCAGCCGAGTAAACGTGTGGTCTGTGCAGACCCAACATTGGGAACTTTAACTTATACGTATAGTAACATAAGGAATGTGCGTCACTGCAACACCCAGGTGTACTGAATACTGTATTATAAAGCAAGTATACAAATATTATGTAAACTTTTTCGAAATAAGCTGAAAAACTTTATCACATTTGTCAACCTTGTATATCGTTATCGTTCTCATATAACAGTTAAAATATATAAATCAACGTCCTGCAGGACTTACAATGTGATATGTCCTCGTAAATGTGCAATCGTTCTCTGAATCGAACAGTGATTACATATAAATGCTACAACCTTCTGCACTGCCGCAAGGATGGTTATTCCATCATATGTTCAGCTAAACTGTTGCAAATATTTACCAGTCTTCGTTCGAAGCATAGTGGCTGGGGAACCCGTTTTACATCCGACCCGATAATTTGTATCTGCGTCCGCGTTTGCTGCATGACCCTCGTAGGTGCTGCATTAGATTTAGCATGGTGTAATCATCGAGATCGGTAGAAAATAATGAGGTCGACTCGCAACCGACATAGAGTCCTAGTTTCTCTCACCGATCTACTTAATGCAAGCCACGTAAACTCGGGATGAGCCTCGTAGCAACGTGTTGGACCCGTTCGATCTATTGTGTCTCGCCTCGGGTAATCGGAAAGTAGGCGACCGAAACGTACTGTACCATTTCTCTAATCATGGAAGAGAAGAGGCGAGTGGCAATCGCATTAGCTCTTAAGCCGGAGCTAAGTTTGAGCGCATAAAGCATACGCATTACTTTACGATATTGCATGTTCGTGTTGCCCAGGGATATAAAATGGTAGCGCGAGGGTACACCTAGGTCCTTTAGGGAGGGTGGAGGATATAGCGGTTGGTGGTCAAGATAGGAAGTTCGGCCGTAAACACCCTTTCCCAGGCTCAAAAATACAGACTTGGCTGGAATGACCGGAAGATGAAATGATGCTGACCACGTGGATAGACCTTTTTGATACCGCTGATGTACGCCAAGGCCATTGAAAGCGTCAATTACTGTCAACCAGTCATGTTGTTTGCAAACAAGGCACAGGGCAAATGGAGAAGCCGAGGTGGATCGTTGATCAGGAACAGGGTGTGCCAAACAAAGTGTCTTGAGGCATGCCACTTGAAGACGGATCCAAGTCAGTTATGGGTAGAAGGATTTTGGCAAATAGTTTTGTTCGTCGCAGTCAGTCGACAAGTCAGATAAGTCAACTGCCCATCCGGATAAGCATCAGACGGCCGTGTCACCCTATGGGGGCCCGTCACTGGTGCGCATCCTTCGGTCCTCGATGGAGGATCGAACCCTTGACTGCTAGGGGCTTGTGCTAACTAGCCCGCCGCTTATGCAAATGAGCCATGGAGGACAGCAGTGGACCATCACGAATTAAAAGCTAACCGCTATATGGCCCGACCCATCATTCACTGTCATGCAGGCACCTGCCAAGCAGATGACAGCGGTTGGCCCCACGGCCACGGGAATTCCCGACTACGGCAGGAATGAATCGACCTAGCATTTATGGAATGCGTAAGGGAGAATTTCCGTTACTTATGAGTGGAAGGATTTTGGAAAGTATGGTGGGTCGTGCAATATCGCCGTTAGCTAAAAATTCGTGATGGTCGACTGCCGTCCTCTATGGCTCAGTTGCATAAGCAGCGGGCTAGATAGCACGAGCCAGTAGCAGTCATGGGTTCGATCCCCAATAGGGCGAAACGGCCATCTGGTACTTTTCTGGATAGGTGGTTGAGTTATCTGAATTGTTGACTGAATGCGACGAACAAAATTACTCGCCAGGGTCCTTCTACTCATAAGTACTACAAATTTGCCCCTACCGATTCCATAAATGCTTTGTCAATCCTTAGCTGCCGTAATCGGCAAGTCCTGACGCCGAAAGGCCAACCGCTGTCATCTGCATGACAATTACCTGCATGGCAATGAGGATGGGTCAGGCTATATCGCAATTAGGTAACAATTCGTGATGACCGACTGCCGTCCTTCATGGTTCAGTTGCGTAAGCAACGGGCTAGTTAGCATGAGCTACTAGCAGCCATGGGTTCGATCCTCCGTAGAGGTCGGAACGATGCGCACCACTGACTAGCCCCAATAGGGCGAAATGGCCGTCTGGTGCTTTTCCAGATAGTTAGTTATTTTACTTGCCTTGTCAGCTGACTGCGACAAACAAGGGATACCCGTCCTTTAGATGCTCGTCTTGTTGTTCCGTCCGCTTTTGTCCAACTAATATGTAGCGGATCCATCAGTACAGTGAGTCACCAACACTGCACATCCTGTGTTTGTGAAGGAGAACCCCATGGCTGACCTTGTCCAAAGTTGTTTTAACTTCTAGAAATATCAAGTCGACGGCTACTACTTGCTTATTTCTTTCAACCGCTCATGTCACGTGACAAGCAGGTTTGTAATGCATGAGTGGCCTTGCATAAAACCGTGATGTGCGGGCTTCAGGATATGGTTTGACTGTAGGAACTGCAGCAATCAATTCTTCACGATTTTCTTAGGTACCTTTGCCAAATGAGTTGTCAGACAATTAGGCCTGATTTGTCTACTTTATTAGGGTCGCCGCCTTTCAGAATAGGCTTCACCACCGAACGGTTCCAGTTCATCGGCACTGAACTTTCGGACAGCGACCTTCTGAAATGGTTAGTCACGACAGAGGAAACGATGGTCGAAAGTGACTTGAAAACCAGTGGGTAAAGCCCATCTGTTCCGGCAGGTTGGCTGCCGTCAATTTTGCCGACTAGTTAACACACATCATCAACGCCGCCATCAAGATTTTCAAGTCCGGTGAAAGCGGTGCACTTCGAATTTGGAACAGACACCCGGTCATTTCAAATACAGAAGCAAAGTGCGCCGACAGCGCAGACGCCAACATTCCTCACTGCATTCTGTCTTGAACTAAACTTCCAGGCGGTAAAACTGGCGATGCTGCGTACCTATATGACTTCAAACATGAAGTATAAATCGACCTTCCAAAGCTAATTGCTTTCTAAGCGTTTTAATGCGGTTTCCATATCTGTAACTTGTCCTCCACGCCGCAATGCTTACGTGTTACAGCCAACAAACACAGGAAATGGACTTGAATCAACGGTGCACTAAGACAGAGAGCTGGCGTAGGGCAGGGCCTGAAAAAGGTGAAGGCTCGCAACCGTAAAACAGAATATTGGGGGACAGTCGTACAATAGACGGATATCATGGCGGCGCAACAAGGTCCCCCGTCCTGAGAAGGTAAGACGAGCTTTTAAGATTCCATACGAAATCTTATCTCTAAAAGCGCTGTCGGCCGTGATACAACTTGCTGGGTGGAAGAAATTTTCACAATCTCCAGTGTCGCTATCGAGAAAGAGGAGACGTATGTACATGGGCTTGCCAGAAAAAAAATAATTCTCCTTTTGATGGTGAAAAGAGCGTGGCGTATTTCGATGCTTCGAGCTCCAT